ACTCTTTCTTTAAATCCTGCTCTGAGACATTCAGTATACCGAGCATTTAATTTTCCTGTAGCTTATTCATGGTACAATTAGCTTCACCTGCAGCAGAGTGTTGTAGCTACCAGAACAAGAGAAGCAAACAACATATTGAAATAATTGGCAAAAAGTGGTAAGTTAAAATTCTGCAAAGTTAGGGGAAAAAACCCCAACAAATTAAGGTTATAAAATCTAAATTAATGTCATATATGAGTATATAGACATATCCTGACAGAGTTAATAAAAGTATTCCTTCTGACACATGAAGCCAATTGGATTTTTATAGTGAAAATTGTAAATACTGAATCTAGACTGGTTTCCCAAAGAAATAGGACTAAAGTAGTAGTATCTGTGTGCAATATCTGTTCCCTTGAAATGCCTTCTCTGCTCCTGAATGATTTTAAGTGAACTGCTGTCACCATTTGACTCGGGTTCGACGACAATGCTCTCAATGCCCTCCCCCTCCCACCCAGGTAGGGAAGGAGAGAGAGAAAAAGAGAGAGACTTTATTGGATTGAAAATTAAACTACACAGCTTTAATAACACACTAGTGATAAGAGAAAATATATACAATTATATACAAATGTATTCAGGAAATGTACAGAACCCCTATTGCCTCCCTCCACCCCCAGCAACTCCCACAGCACTCTCCTTAGCAGCAAACAGTCCCCCAAAATCCTGGACTGCTGCTGGAGAAAGCAGAGAGTGATGAGGGCCACGAGAACACGAGCCTGGGGGTCAGTGGTGATGGATAGATGGAGTTCTCCCTGGACACTGGCCATGGATGGAAGAGAAGGGAAGAAGAAGCAGGAAGTTGTCTTCTGTGAACTCTGACCTTCCTCTGAGCTTACGTAGATATATGGAATGGAATATCTCTGGCCATTTTTGCTGTTTGTCTAATTCAGGTTCCTACGGGGGGGTCAGAGATCTCCCTGTAGTGTCTGAGCCGGCAGAGTGAAGGTGCGACCTTGAAGACCCAGCAGTTGGAAAAACATTCCACTGTTTGTTATCTTTCCTAGCTGGAACACTCTGCTACTAGTTAAAACAAAGCTTACTGAAGGAAAATAAAATCAGTAAAAGGAAAATTGGCTTCATCCTGGCTCAAACCAGGACAACTCTACAAAAGACTAGAAGATTCAAAGATATCATAATTGTTTCAGGAAAATAGGCCTACAAAAATGAAAATAGGCCTAGAAACGGGAAGAGAGATTATTAAATCCTCATACAGAGAAAGACTTATGAAATCACCTTTCATCAGTCAACGTGAAGGGGGGAAAATATGGGAGAGAGCCACTGGAAAATAGGTTTCATTAGATCAGCTGTTCATGGCACAACTTGTCACATTGCTTGTAAGCAACAGCTGGTTAAAAAGCTCCCTGTGCACAGAACATCCAACTTCAGAGCTGCTTGTTCTGGCAGAGAGCCTTATGCTTACATGAAGAAATGAAACTTCTCTTTTCTACTCTCTATCACTAAAAAAATGTCAAATTTATCTGACTTTTAGATACACTGTTTTAAGAAGCATCTGCTGTTACTGGACTAAAGATAAGGTTCAGAAATGTCTTTTAAAAGTATGTTTTAAACTGCTTCCTTTTGAAATGTTATATTAAATGTTTGTTGCCTGAATTCTATGGATAAACACTGAGTATAATTATCTTAAAATACAAGGATGCTTCCTCTTCCCACTGCTTCTTATTTCAGATGCTTCAGATCCAGCACATCTCTTATCTCTGGATCACATGCAGACATAAATGCCTCTTGTTGTCTATGTGCTTCAGCAAATTGTTGCGGAAATTCAGCTCTGAAGGTCTGTGACAATGAACAAATCCCTCTGGTACCCTCTATTATATGTTTCTAATTAGAAACACATTTTATAAGAGTTCTTCAAAGGGCTGTAGCTGTATTTTTTTGGGAGTTCAAGACAGCTGCATTATCTGACAGAAGCTACCACAATGCTACAGCAGTAACATATCAACGAGACAAGAACCTTGAACAGACACTTGACCAAGCAGGAGATACTGACAGGTGGCATAGCAACAACAACACAGCTTATTATTTTTATGGAAATCCACAGTGGAAAGTGGTATAACTGGAAGGCTAAGATTGAAGATTTAAATACTATTTTGCAAAGCTGTAGCCAATCAGCAAAAGTTACTTTTTTTTTTTTTTTTTAATAGATTATACAGAGATAGCTCTTATATGGTAGAATACACTTACCATTCTTCAAGTAAACATGACTTTATAAAGTTTATAACCCTCTGCAAAGAAATATTACCTATTTTATGATTTCTTGATACTGTGTATTTACAGGTTTGAAAATTTGCTATGAATCATCAAAAAATAATATAGGATATCCCTTTTATTGGGGAATGGGACACTGAAATATTAAAACAC